AGGGTTTTACAGAAAATATTCTGTGCAGTATCTTACCCAAGTTCAGGAATTCTAAAATAATATAGAATATGTCAGAGTTGGGCAGTTAGGATGATGTGTAAATTTCAGATAAAATAGCTTATGGACTCCAATGTGCATCTGGCTTTCTTTTAGGCTACATGGCCAGGAGGCCCTTTGCCCAACTTCACATTATATACCAGTTATGCCCCTTCCAGGACAGGAAGGCCCTCTGCTCAGTCACTATGCCCTGGTCATCTCTTTATTGGACTATTGCAACGCAGTCTACATCAGGCTATTCTTGAAAAGTATCTGAAAGCTTCAGCTGGTGCAGAATGTGGTCATGTGAGCCATACTGGATGTCCAAAGAGGGGCACATGAACTGCACTGGGTGCCAGTTTGCTTCCACGTCCAATTCAAGGTGATGGTTGTTACCTATAAAACCCTCCATGGCATAGGGCCAGGCTACCTATACAACCAGCTTCACCCCATTACATCAGCCCATCTCACTCATTCAGGCAAGCAAGAACCGGTCAGCTAAAGACTTTCAACTGGTAGGGTCTAGGAGCCGTGGTGGCAAAGTGGTTAGAATGCAGTACTGCAGGCTATTTCTGCTGACTGCCTGGCTGCCTGCAATTTGGCAGATCATATCTCACCAGGTTCAAGGTTGACTCAGCCTTCCATCCTTCTGAGGTCAGTAAAATGAGGACCCAGACTGTTGGGGGCAATGTGCTGACTCTGTAAACTGCTTAGAAAGGGCTGTAAAGCACTGTGAAGTGGTATATAAGTCTAAATGCTATGGCTATTGCTAAGAGGAGGGTCTTCTCTGCCACTTCCCTTGCATTGTGGAACATCTTGCTCTCAGATGTGAGGAAAGCCCCCAATCTTTTGGCCTTCCACAAAGGGGTCAAAACTTGGCTCTGTAGCCTTGCATAGGGGACACAGTGACCTACAGAAAATGGGGCTGGCTGGCCCCATGAGAATCTCCCATCCGCCTATAGTAACAGCTGTTGATTCCCCATTTTGGAATTCTTCGCGTTCTACATTTTTTATGATGTTTTTATAATTTAAATTAATTGTTTAATTTTGTTGATTATATTGTACACTGCCCAGAGCCCTTCTCTGAAGTAAAGGGGTCACTAAAAATGTGAAATACAAATGAATAAACAAACAAACGATTATGGAAAGTATGAGGCTAAACAAAGAATGTCCAGCAGGGATAATCTTATGTTATTTTTGAAACTATGATGCTGAAGATATAAGTGCATGAGTAGCTCTCCAGGTCTTGGTACTCAGACTTGCAGGAAGGGGCATACTGAAATTTTCAAAAGGGTGCATAAAATCCACCTTTCCTTAGAGATATGTAGCTGCTTCATTATGTCATGCTCTCATGTACTGGGTTTTACATGGTTTCCATTCCTCTTCTTTGAAAGGAAAGATGGGCATTAGCTCATAAAGCTAATGCACTCCCTATAGTCCACTAAAATAGGAAGATCCGTGAACCAAGTACAGAAGCTTGCATCCCACCTACCCACATCTGAAGAGTCACCATACAACAAAACTGGTCACAGTGTGCCTCCTGGTGGCCACTGTAACTGAAAATACCATTTCCACAGATGCACTGTGTAAAAACAGAGAAATGTTCCCCACACTCCAATAGCCCATATACATTAGTGAATTTCTATGACTAACTGTGAACTTTCATATTCCTGGTCTTAATTCAACATTGGATTCAGTTGGATTGTGCTAGAAATAAACTGGAAGTCAGCACAGATTTTAGTAGTACCAGCAAGATATAATCCATGGAGTGAGTAGCAATTAATAATTTAGCTGCTATGTTCTGAATGTTTTGAGTTCTCATAAGCAGTTCAACCCAGAGCTACATACATATATTCTCTACTATTAGCAAAAAGTACATAGGAGATTTGTGCTGTTGGTGGAGTGGTAAGTGAGAGCTGCCGAACTAGTAAATCTTCTCCATGGTGCTTATTTATAACTGAGAAATGGGATGTGATGTTCTGGTTTATCATCTCTATTTTGTGCATCATTAATATATTAAATGAGTTCAAAACAGTTATAACCCAGATATTCTTGCTTTGCTTGTAGATATGAATTGTATTCCACCACTTTTTGATGGTGTTAAGTATCCAATAAGGAGTGGGTATGGGTGGATGGGTGTGGGGGTGTGAAAATCTGACCCTTAGTATGAATATTGAAAGGCCAGCATAGGTATCTGCCCCGACGGAAAAATTCTTGCTTTGATAATCCATTCTAGTTTTTATTGCTGTAATGAATTAGGAATGAGGATACATTTGGGAACTCTTCTAAAATAGTCAGAATGTAACAGCTAAATTATTAATTGATATTCACTCTATGGATTATATCTTACTGGTATTAAAATCTAAATTGACTTCCAGTGTATTTGTAGCACAATTCAGTTAAGAGCCAGTGTTGAATGGAGACCAGCAATATACAGAATGAAGTCCTCAGTTAACTATAGAAATTTGCTGGGTATATTTGGGCTCCTCATTAGTTCTCCGTCCAACCTACCTTGCAGTCTTGATGAAGCTAGGGAAAGGAAGTTGCAACTTGACTTCCAAAGCAAAGTGACCAACATTTTGAGGAGATGGAGATCACACCACAGGTTTTGTGACAATGTGATCACAAGGGCTTGCCAGTAATTTTGGAGCCTATAATTTGGCATTTTGGGAATTAAGTATGGATATAGAAATGAAAGCATCTAAAGAGAGAAAGAGAGAGAGAGAGAGAGAGAGAGAGAGAGAGAGAGAGAGAGAGAGAGAGAGAGAGGGAGAGAGGGAGAGAGAGAGAGAGTGAGAGTTCCAAGTCACACCATTAAAATTTACAACAGTGTAATCTCAAGATGCTGGAAGGTTGCCATATTTAGAGGAAATGTGGATTATAAATCTAAATAAAATATATGTTTCAACGTATGTATTGTCTTTGAATAGCTGAAGGTCACTTATTTCAAGAGAACCTGAGAAGTGACCTTCATCAAATGCACTGCTTTAGATGTTGCCATTATTTTTGATAACATTGTTATAGAATGCTCTTCATACTTGCACAGAGAGCTAGGGAGACAACCTTAAGGGAAATAGGCAAGAATCATCATATAAGCAGAGTGAGCTGAAACATTTCCTAAGATCTAGAGAGAAGATAGTATCAAGAGTCTTAGGCAGATTCCTCCGTGCATCTGGGATGTGAGAGGGATAGGAGTAAATTTTTACCATAAAAATTCTTCCAATCAATAATTTTCTCCATCTTAATAAATCCTTAATTTCATTCCAAACTTTAACATAATTATGACATGAATTCATACAATTCAAGTTAGTTATGATACCCAAATGTTCACATTTTTTTCAATCTGAAAGCCACTTTTCAATTTTTTGGGGGTCTATCTTAATGTTGTCTACATTTTCCTTGTTAATTTTAAATCCAGACAATTCATCAAATTATCTTATTTTTTCCATCTATCCATCTATCCTTCTTCCTAAGGATATCTTCCTTCCTAACGATTCTTATCCAAAATTAGAACCAAATCAACAGATGCCTTTAGTTTATACATTTCTTTCTTAATTTTCACATCAGTCAGTCTCATTTCTATTACATTTCTATTCAAAACATGAAGAACCAAAATGAATTGACAATGGAGAAAGCAGGCATCCCGGCCTTGTTTCTTTCTGTATTTCAGAACTTCGTTAACCTCCATTCACAATTATTTGTGCCTTTTGTGAAAATGTGTTGATTTCACCCATATAATGTTTTTCCAAAATTGGTATCTTCCAAATTTTAAACAGAAAAATCATTTAAATTGTCAAAAGCTTTCTTTGCATCAAGAAATACTAAGAAATATTAACCTTGCTTTTCACTATATTGTGCCAACTACTCTAATACATTAAGAACATTTCTAATATTATTTCTTGGGGTTAAAAAAAAATCCACTCTGGTCTTCATGGATAAAATCTTGAAAAACATTTTCAGCCTTTCAGATAAAATCATTGTGAATATTTTATAATTATTAGTAGGTAACGTCCTATAATTTTTTGGCAAAATCAAATCCTGCCCCTTTTGGAATCACTGCTACATATGCTCCTGTCCAACTATCTGGTATCTTTTCATTACCTAAAATGGAATTTAAAAATAAGTTTATCATTTTTTTGTAAAGGTAATAAAAACTCATTTGGAAAATATTTGTAGTAAATCAATAATCCATCTGGAACAGGGGCTTCTTTTATTCATCTTCTTTATAGCATCACAAATTTCCCTTATTAAAATTATTGGTCCATTCATCATTCGCCTTTGGGCATTTGATAGATTTTGTTTCTACAAGTCGTCATCTGCTCTTACCACATTGTATACTACTAATTTGCTATTAGCCAATCTTAATAAAGGATAGTCATGGTCTTCCTGTGATGTCTATTTCCCCTTCTGATCTTCCTTGAAGGGCTGACAATTGTGGCATTAAAATAACAATGTCCAGATAATGGAAGAGTTTTAAACAAAGATTATATGTGAGGGAAGGATCTTATTGCCTTTGAAAGGGAATTTGAAAGCCTTAAATCAACATTATTTCTTTTAAAAGCCTGTGGACACACAATAGTACTAAGTTAAATTACCTCCTATTTTAATTCATTTTATAAGTCCTTCAGAATTTTTAATTAAGTAATTAAGATACAAAACAATAAATGGTATTTTCATATGAAGAGTGAACTTTGTTCTGTAATCTAAACTAGCAAGGATATGAAAATACATAAGACAGAAAGTTGCTTACCATTAAAATTAAGGGAACTTTTAATTATAATGTGATATTTTTTGAAATCTAAAGTACACATCTTGTGCAATTACCATTAACCGATCTACTTTCTGAGGTTATGCTTTTCTGAAGAAATTGTATTAATGAACCTGAGTACATAGGCAAATTTCAAGGGTTGCAAGTTCTACAGAATTTTCTATGTACTCAGAAAAATAAACGAACAGGCGTGCCATCTGTAATCATGTTTTATTGCACTGAAATTTCATTGCATTACTCATTTACTGTTCAGAAATACATAGTCCCTGTGAAGAATTGGAAGATAATGAAGAATCGTGAAACTAAATTCCAATAATCAACAAAACAAACTTATTTTTCATATTTTAATGATACAATATGAAAGACAACTGACATTTTTAAAAATCTAGTTGGAATATTGGGTACATTTTCTCTTAAGAGTTTTTTGTTTGTTCAACATTGGGAATTGCTTTATTTACATCCAATCTTTCTTCTCTGATGAAATTCAATTTTCCACAAGATTCCCAAGTAGTTTCCAATGCAGGCACTTATCAGGACAATGTTCTGCCTGTATTAGAAGTATTGGACATATTGCCTTCCACTATCCAGTACAAAAAAAACCCTTATTTTCTAACCACCATTCCAATTCTAAAAGCTTTCCATTAGCAAAAGCTCCCTTCCTAAATACCAATGTATGATGTATGACTGTTTTCAGAAATAGGAAATTGAAAACTTATTTATAAAATGTACTTTATTTACATTTTTTTAATCAAAAAGGAAAAACAGATAAACTGTTTTATGAGAGCTGTCATAGTGTATTAATTATGGTTCGGTTCCGAAGTTGTTCAATGTACTCCTTAGCTTGATCAAATCCAGTCTTTGCAGGTGCTGAAGGTGGAGGTGGTCCTTCAACTAATCTCACAAAGTAATGACATTTGACTTTGTCCATAATCCCAAAACAGCCTTTGCCATGGTAGCGGATTCTTTTTACATAGTGCCCTTTTCCAGAAAATGATTGAGCTAGAAAATATCAAAGGAAAAACCTGGTTACAACAGAGGTCCAAAGAAGCACTTAGTGGAACAGTCAGTTCAACAGTTCATTATGTTTAATGCATCTCAAAGAAAACAAAAAATGGTTCAGACTTCTAGGAGGATAATCAAGCCAACTGAATAAGAAGAATGGATGAATACTGGTGGTCCTCGACTTACAACCACAATTGAGCCCAAAATTTATGTTGTTAAATGAGATATTTGTTAAGTGAATTTTGCCCCATTTTACGACCCTTCTTGCCACAGTTGTTAAGTAAATCACTGCAACAGTTAAGTTAGTAACACGGTTGTTAAGTGAAACTGGCTTCCCCATTGACCTTGCTTGTCAGAAGCTTGCAAAATGTGATCACGATCCAGGGACACTGCAACCGTCATAAATATGAATCAGTTGCCAAGTGTCTGAATTTTGATCATATGGCCATGGGGATGCCGCAATGGCTGTGTGAAAAACGATCGTAAGTCACTTTTTTCAATGCCGTTGTAACTTCGAACAGTCACTAAATGAACTGTTGTAAATCGAGGATTACATATTCACGTGACAGCTGCTAGCCTTCATTCTGAACTAGCAGGGCTTTTTAAGATTCTTCTCTTTTTTCTATATTTTTTGTTTTATTCAGAACAAAGTTAAAATACAAAATATTAAAAGTAAATAAAAATCCAAGAACACATAAAAGAAAAAAAAAACACAACACAAAATGATAGGAACATTAAAAAAAAGGTGCATCAAAAAATTCTTCTCTTTTGTCTCCATCTACTGCTGTTGTGCCAAGAGTGTTGCTACTTCTGGAAATTGAGGAAACTTGTCTTACATCAGTGACATCAGTGACTTGTTTTGTTTGTCACCATTCAAAATTCTACATAAAGCATTAAACAAGGAAACACAATAAAACTATAAAATAAAAATATTAAAGGTAATATGTGTAGCTAAGCACCTTCTAATGTGATAAACAATCTGTCAGCTCTTATACTATATATCAGTAAACCTTTTCTTCTTAAATCTTTTTCTCTGTTCTTGTTGGTCTGTTTGCTTAACAACCATGGGAAAAAAAGGTTGTAAAATTGATCACGATTCACTTAACCATCTTGGAAATTCTGATCCCAACTGTGATTTTAAGTTGTGGACTATCCATACATTATAAATTACATTGCATTTTGCTTTTTTTGAGAAAGTTTCATACAATTATAAAGTATTTACCAATATATAAATTGGATTTAAATTCTACATTATATTTTGTCACTGCCAGTTCCTGGGCTTCCAGAAGAACCTATTATGAAAAAGGAAAAAAATAATAAAGTCACAGAAGTCGTGAACATTTTTAATTTAAGAGCTTTAAAGCTATACAAAGAGAAACAAAGGAATATTTGAGTCTTAGCAAAATGGCCTGCATACTGGTAATTGAAAATCCTATACTCTTCACAGCAGAAGCTTCTGTAATGGGATTTTTATTCCGTGAGCCTTACTGCCAGATCACTGACCAGAGCATTGCCTTAGTTCACTTTTAGAAGTTCAAACAAGTCCATGTCCTAGAGAAGCAGAAGCTGGTGGCATTCTCCAACTTGAAGATATGTAGGTATGTATGTTCAGCTAGGTTGGCAGGAGCTGGGGTGAGTAACAAGAGCTCACCCCGTTGCATGGCACTCTGGTCTTGAACCCAGGCTGTGGGCTTTCCAGCTGACAAGTTCAGCATTTTAAGCACTGAGCCTGCCAACCTAGCAATTCAAAAGCATGCAAATGCAAGTAGATAAATAGATATCACTTCAGTGGAAAGATTACTGCATTCTAGTGGTGGGTTGGTACCGATTTGCCCCAGATCGGGCGAACTGGTAGCGGTGGCAGCAGGAGGCTCCGCCCACCGGCCCAGATGCTTCTGTGCATGTGCAGAAGCATCACGCGCATGCCCACGAGCAAACCGGTAGCAACGGGTTTTGAAAACTGCTCCTGCTGCATTCCATATTTTCTTGCTGGCCACATGATGACAGAAGCATCTTTCCGACAATGCAGGCTTCTTTGGCTGAGAATCAGAAATAAGCACCATCCCCTTGAGTTGGTCATGACTGGACAGGGGAAACCTTTAAAACCTTTTTTCGATGTTCAGCTACAACTTACATCATCCAGCCCCAACATCCTTAAGTAGGTGGGTGCTTTAATTAGATTCCATCCCCCAACAATATTGAGCAGGCCTTCCTGAATGCCTAATATTTCAGGATTATTCTATTCATTCTACTGGCTTGTTGACATACTTTGAATTCTTAAAAAGAAAAAATTAAATAATTTTCGAAGAGCCTACAACCAATAATTTCTATTTTAAATTTCACACTCTCTTATAGGCACATTTGCCACACAATTCATGCAGAACTGCATGGCTATCCCAATTCCCTCATACCTAGAGCTTCACTATATAGCACAATCATATTTTTCCCTCTTTAATTCCATGTCTTCATGAAACACTTTTGTGTGCATATAACTGTGGCTATCCAGAGTCTTTGTTTACTCAGAGCACTAACCATGTTTATGCACTGTGCAAATTGAACAAATTGTGATGTATTCAGTAGCCATAGCTAAGAAAACTAAGTTAATGAATGTGCTATAATAGTTCCATTTGTTAGTGTGCTGCATTAACACACTTAGCTATAGTGGCTAGATTCACAGAATACTCTATGCCAGAAATAAGCAAAACGCATTTTAGCTCAACATGTTTCATGAATCCAGCCTACAGTTGTATTCACTTTTCCTTTCTCCAAATAGTCCATTCCACCTTTATGTTAAGCATCACAACTTTTTTCCCAATATTCATTTCTATTTTATCCATTTCCCTTTTCTGTCAAAACATATCAGCCATACTTTTTTTTCTAATCCATTACTCTTTAGCAAACTTTCTTTAACTTTCTCGTATTAGCATTTTTGATTCTTCTACTTTCTAATGCTTGGGATCCCTTCCCTGCTTTCACCTACCCAAATGTCAAGTTTAACCACAGGCAAATGGTCACATTTTCCAAAATACCAAGTTTTTAGAAATTAAAGATCCACATAATATACACATAAAATCTCTGCATATATTGAATAATACATTTCAGACAATCTCTCAAATAAATGGCTTTAACCAAAATCGGAAAGAAACACATTTTGAAGAAAAATGTAACATACCTCTTTGATTATTTTTGCGCCCTTTTTATCATTGAATTCCAACTGAGCCAGTGCTTCATCAATGGTCATTCCCCGTATCTGAAATGGAAGGAAATATTTTGTACAAAAAAAAGTCTCAAATGATTTCAATGGCAAACATATTTTGGCATAAAAGGGCAATACAAGTAGTCCTCACTTACCTACAGCAAGTGAGACTGGCAATTGTCGCTAAGCAACACAGTCATAAAGTGAAACATCACATGACCATGTCCAACTCATGACATCCATTCTAACTGGTTGTTAAGCGAATCACTGCAGTTGTTAAGCGTGATGCCACCATGAAGCCTGCTGTGAAAGTCACAAATGACAGTCACATAATTGCAGGACATTGTGATCAAAATAAAATGTGCACAAATTGCCAAGCACCCGAATTATGTTGTGGTGACCATGGGGACACTGTGATCAGTGCAAGTACAAGAATCAGTCATAGGTCTCCTTTTTCAGTGGCTGTAACTTCAAATAGTCACTGAATGAGCAATCAATCAGCAAGGATTACTTGTATCACATTGGTTTTTATTTACTGCTTTGAGGTCTGACTAAAACACTGAAATAGCCTAACTATAAACTAACTATAAACTATAAACTGATGAACTAGGAAAAATCAGGATCATATAAACATCTAAGAAAGCTACCAAAAACACCTTAAGAAATCTACAAATAAAAGCTCTTACCAATTTGGCCAGGTACCACATCTTTTCCTTGTCGTATTTGACATCTCTTCGACAGTGGTATACTTCCTTTAAAAAATAAGTTTTTATTACGCAAATGTAGCTGATGTAAAATGATTGTAGCAATTTATCCCTAAATGAATGTGTCCATATTTGAGCACAGAAGGCACAGAGCCAAGATCCTTCAAGACTCAAATCCCAAATGTATCTTTTTGAGTCAGACAGTCTTAAATAGTACATATCAATAACAAACCACAGCCCTAGAGCATCCTGTAACATCTCAGACACTACACATGGCTGCTTTTGATTACAGTTTAAAAAAAATAAAAGCCAACTGAATCTCATGAGATTTCTAAGCAAGACTGTTGAAATCTAATGAGAAGTGATTAGGCAATCATCTGAGGTCACAGGCCGATCAGTTTTATACATTGGTTCACCTAACTGAATACTAGATAGTTAGAAAAAGTTGTCAGGTATCTTAAGAAAATCCTGACGTTATGGCTGATATTGTTTTATATAAACTATTAGCATGGTATACTGAAGCAGTTAAATTTTAACACCGTTTTATAGGAGATATGGGAATTAACTGCCCATGACCAGAGTCCACTCAACTATGCTATTGACATTCTTCTCTATTACCATTATGTCTTCCATCTGACCTTACTTTCCCTTCCAGGTATTTTCAGTTGATTGCTGGAAGAAAAAGGCCCAGTTGCTAATGAAATAAAATGCATTATCTTAAAGTGTGGACCTTCCAAAAAATGAGGGCCATTAACCTGCTGCAATGATGAGTATTAGAATTGTTCTGAAAGAAGACATGGCAGTCTTCTATGTTTTTTCACATCCTATCTCACCCCAAAGATGCCAAAGAGCTAAAAGGAGTGAATATATTTTAGGCCCATGGATTTAATTCAAATGAGATGCTATAAAATGCTCAACATTTATTTCATTACATTCAGTGGTGGGTTGCCCCTGGTTCGTACAAGTTCGCAAGAACTGGTAGCAAAACCGGCGGGAGGCACCGCCCACTGACCTGGACGTCATCATAGGTGATCTGCGCATGTGCAGAAGCGAGTGCAATGCAAACCGGTAGTAAAGGTAAGTAGAACCCACCCGATTACATTTATTATAACTGCTGTCTTCCAACAAATGTGCTCACTATGGACCACATCCACCATAAATACAGCACCAAGATCAGATTATTTAATGCCGTTGTCATACCGACTGCCATCTATGCCAGTGAGACCTGGAAATCTACAAGAAGAATTATTGATAAGATCAATATCTTCCAATGCTGCCCCAGAAGGTTCTTTGTATCCCATATAGGGACCATGTCACAAATGAGAAATTTTTATAAAGAAGTAATTCCTGAAGACTCTGAGATGGTGACAGAATGAAGAATAGGCTTTGAAGGATGCAGAGATTGTAGCTACAGACTAAGAACTGTGAGGTATACCTGTAGCCCAATGTTTAGCACAGGATGTGATGATGATTATAACTGCCAACTCCAACACAGATCTCAAAACCTACGCCTCATAAAATTAGGACTTACTGCTGGTCTTCGAGGCTCATCTGGCCCTTGTGGAGGATAGGTGATGTTGTTCTTTTTTTCCCACTTTGTACTGTACCCGAAAGATCTGCACATATTTGATAGAAGAGGAATACTGGAAGATCCCAGGACCCTACAAATCAAGTTTTTTGTCATTTTACAAAAGCTAAATCCTATTACAATATTTGTAGCTCAGGGTTGAAATGAAGGATCGTTGGGTGCTCTCTGAGCTTGGTTGTTTCCTTGCAGGCATTTCATTAGCCACTAATGATGTTATCTACTTTGGGTAATAAAACATCTGCAAGAAAACAACCAAGCTCAGAGAGCACCAAGGACCCCTCACTGATTGCAATAATTATTATGATACTGAATGCTAAATTCATCCCAAATAAACTATATTTATTCTAATTCTATAACCTAGTACCCAATAGAATACTTATTTTAGGCCAACATCTTCAACTGCACTGCAAGATAATATATCCACAAATATAGCTATTTATTAATATCTTGCATTTATGTATAATGTAAAGATATGGAAACAACAAACATAATTCTTTGGGGCAAAGTGAAATAGATATAGCCTAAACTCAACTACTGTTAAAATACAGGGTTTTCGGTGACAGCTGCCACTTACACCTTTAAAAAGTAGCTTACTGTAGATCAGAAAGGGATCCATAGCAACCAATGTGGCTTTGAATATGGTACTAAGCAACCTTTTAACTGTTTTTTTTTCAATGAACCAATAACCACCTGACTCATATTTACGTTATGTCATAAAACATGGTTTAAAATTGCACTGGCTGAATTGATATATAATGGTAAGCAAAAATCAAAACATTTGACTTAGTACAATGACTGAATCTAGCCAATGAGATAGAAAGTATTGCTATTACTTTTATCAGTCATTCTTGGATTCTCTCCTCAATTTATACTTACTATATTCCATTATTTCTTCCATACAGTTTTCAGTTTCTTCTTTTTAACTGTATAGTCTGGGGCTGGCCACCCAGTTTTTAATCCTTATATTCACTCATTCATTTATATCACATACGGACCTTAGGAATATTTCATCATACATAAACCTTCTTTAGTGTAGATAGTGCACATTTGATAATATTTATGTGACAAAAATAGACAAAAATTTAAATAAAAAAACTCACCCCTACAATTACTTAATAATTTGAGTGTGAAATTACATTAGGCACATACAGTATCTAGTGCCTTTGAAATCTCTTTTTGAACTATTATATGGTAGTACTTGATTCTAATTATTTGAAAAGTATAAGAGTATCACAGAGCTATAGAATTTTTTTTCACACTCATAAGAAGCGTCAGCTGGCTACTGTCTAAGAAATGTAAATCCTAAGCCTCTTAAGTTCTAGAATTTTTGTATGTATCTTTAGATCTTCTCTACTGGCTCTATACCAACTCTTAAATTTTATGGAAAGAAAGTTTTCCTTCAGTAAAGCAAACATCTTATGCTTTACAGGGTGTTCCAGTGCCATCTAGTGATCATAAATATATAATGCTTTCATACTATCAGAGAATGTGAGATCACTCGAAAGCTAATCAATTTGAATTAACGTCTATTCATTCAGCTACTCTTCAAAGTTACAAAAGCAATGAAAAAATGAGCTTGTGACCAGTTCTTGTACAACTGCTATGGCACCCATCCCCCACCCCCCAGTCACCTAAAAATTTGGGCCAGCCTGCATTTACAACTGCTCCCTGCAGCCATGCTCCTAGCTGACCAATGTTGTGCCTTCACCTGCCTTCTCTCTCCAGGTTACCATCCTGGCCACAAACAGGAGAGCAGCTGCTAGTGACTGACAAAATCAACTGAATTTGGAAGATACATTTGTTGCCTTAGTTAAAACTAATGAGCTGTCTGGCTTCATAAATATTGTTGCCTGTTGCTCCCTTTCTAAAGATTTGGGATTCATGCTTTGGAATAAAAAAAATTGAAAATGGTTTTAATATTGAAATTTGAAGGGTTTTTTTTAGGGATGGCACACAAAAAGGTAGAAAAAATATGGGACTTTGTTTTTACATGTGACTATGGCAGTGATAGTGTTACAGGCCCAAAGACAGAAAGAAGAATATACATATACCTATAATGGAAGAATGGACTTTGAAATTAATGACAAATCAATGAAATGGCAAAATTGACTGCTTTGCTTACAGACAATAATTTGATTAAATTTCATGTGACCTGGAGGCCACAGATAAATTTCTTACAGGATAAAGAGAAGAATCATATTTGATTTTAGAATCTGAAGGTTAGATTGGATTTGACTAGAGAAATACTCTAGTTTTTTTTAAATATAAGCCTATTTGCATTTGGTAACTTATTATCTTTTTTAGATGAAATTAAGAGAACATTTTAGGAATGCTGGTTTTTAGTAAATTAATTATTAGTATTTTAAAATATTTTATAGATAGATGTTATTTCTTTGAACCTAAAGGGAGGTGATTATATCTCTGTACTAAAAGAAAGTCAGAGGTCACCTTGCTATATTTTTTAGATGTATTTTTTGGCACGTCTAATATGTTTTGCCATTTTCTGTTGTATTAGCTTATATTTTAATGTATGATGTTGAAACTTAATAAAGATATTATAAAAAAGAGAAACGTATTATTGTATATTATTGACACGGAGTTCCAAACAGGGATTTTTATTGGAAGTGAAGTGGATGATGGGAGCAAAGAATCATGGTTTTTCCACTACCATTGCTTCAGGAAAGTAGAAAGTAGAATTCAGGAAAAGATATTTCTGATCAATTATATCGTGGGTTCTTGCAATTTGAAAACTGTGGTACAGTATGCCATGTTCTGGAACGAGTTCCCCCCAGAGATACGGAAGATCCCGGACCTGCGCACGTTTCGCCGTGCTCTCAAAACTTTTCTATTTCAGCAAGCTGGCCTGGCCTAACTCCCCTCTTTTAAATTATTTTTTAAATTTTTTAATTCGTGATTTTATAAATTGGGTGTTTTAATCTGTGTTTCGGCCAAAATATTTAATAATTTTAAGGGATTTTTAATATTTGTATTATCTGTATTTTATCTTGGCTGTTCACCGCCCTGAGTCCTTCGGGAGTAGGGCGGTATAGAAATTTGATTAAATAAATAAATAAATAAAATAAATGTTTACAAAATACTATTCATGAAATTTTTAAAAATGTACTGTAGTTTTTATTAAATTTAACCCATGCTAATTTGATAGCAAGGACAAACAAGAGATTGAACATAACATTTGTTCTTATGGTTTCAATCCATGATTTGAAAATGCACAGAGTTGTGAATCAGTCATCATTCTCGGTTACAAGGAGTTTTGCAGCATCTTAAAGGATATCAAGTGTATTATAATAGCCATTGGAAATACTGGTTCAATATGCTGGACTATAATGTCCAACATAGTTTGAGGGCATGATGTGGGGGCCATTTGTATTATGCACTTGTATTTCATTTGCAATTTGTAATCCATTTTGAAAACTTCAGTTGAGACAGATATATAAAGATAAAGCAAACGCTTGGAAGAAATCACGAAAATACAAGCAATATCAAATGGGTTAATTTCATTAAAATTCAAATAAATGATAATTATGTAATTATCTGTACAGCTGTACAGCTACTTTTCCCAAAATGGCATTATTGGGAAAAACACTGAAAAATACTAGGGCAGAGGGAGAAACAAATAAGGGGGAAAGGCAAGAATAGATCCCCCAAGCAATATCTTATTCCCAACAGATTCATCAGCTTGGAATGAATCGGGGAGGGGGGGGGCGGTCTATGGTCAATAACAGATTAATCTCGAAATTAATACAGCACTGCTAAAGATACCAAAAGAGAACAATCTGTATCCTAAATAACTGTTTTCACATATTCTCATTTTGATGTACCCTTGATGTATCCTTACGATTTATATTGATATTGTTTCCTGATTCTTATTTGTACCCTATAACTATCATTAAGTGTTGTACCTTAAGATTCTTGACGAGTGTATCTTGTCTTTTTTATGTACACTGAGAGCATATGCACCAAAGACAAATTCCTTGTGTGTCCAATCACACTTGGCCAATAAAGAATTCTATTCTATTCTATTCTATTCTTAACTTCGGCGAACTTCAGGTAGCAAAGCTCACCTGCCGGCCCGAGGGCAACCGCCAAGGCTCCACGCGCGGGCAATCCCTGCAAGAGAGAAAGAAGATGTGGGTCGTGGGATTCCCCCAGCAGCACCTCCCCTTCGTAAACCGCTCGCCCCGCAAGGCTCACCCCAGAGCATCCCCGGCAGCGCCATCTTCCCAGCCGTCAGTCAAGCACCGTCCGACCAACCGACTTTACGGCAGAAGCTGGAAGATTGACCTAAACGCGTCTGCCGTGCGGCGCTTCCCTTTTGCGACAGCACGTGAGGGAGGTTACAGAGCGGACTTTACGGCGGTGCGTGGTGACAGCTGCCGGGAGCCTCCTGGAAGCGCAACGTGACCGCGAGGCTTCCTCGGCACTCGAGCGATGGCAGCGGCGGGGTTGGGCGCTGGAGCCGCCGAGCGCGTGCTGCCGGCTTCCCCTAACTGGTACTGCAGCCGGTGCAGCGATGCTTCCCAGGACGGGCGTCTCTTCGGCTTCGCGGCTCGTCACAGCGTGTGTCTCCTGGAGGTCCGCGCTACCGCTCCCACCTTTTATGGTAGGCGGTCCCCGGGCTGGGAGTCAGCAATATAGATAGAGGTCCTCCTCCATCAGCCCCCCCCCCGGTGGTGCCTTAAGCCGCTTTGCGCCCTTTCTCTCGGGGCGGTCCTGGGAAAGAACAGCAAGTTCCCGCTTCCCGACTTAAAAGCCAGATATAAAATAGTCCTTCAGTGGATGGGGACCAAATAGGAAAGCTTACGGCAGACTTTATCAGCCCAGTGTCATCCCCAAACCCCCAAAAGTTTAACCTTAGACTGGCTACTGTTGACCTCACCCCATTCCTAAGAGGTCTGTAAGGGGCGTGCACAAACACACCAGCATGCCTACCATCCCTGTCCTAATGTTCCCTTTAATTGTATTCATTTTATGTATTCAATTCATGCTTATACTTATATATATTATGTAATATGTACTCGACAAAATAAAATAAATAAAAATAACATAAAGTTTTCCAATTATGAAGACCAGCCTTCTGGGAGTTACAGTTCCAGTGTACTGTATTAAGACTTGGCTCCACTGCTACTAAATTTAGCTATAGGAGTTACCGTTAGCTGTAAGATAGAGAAAATATGTAAATAGGTCCATTTTACAAACTGACTCGGTGTAATACCTGTTAATCTCACATGAAGTATGCTCTGTACGAAGGAGCAATGCATTACTTATCATATTTGGTGAAGGGACCATATCTGTTTAAATTTAGGAAACACTAAGCGAACTCACCTGAAATCTCACTATGTAGGAGCAGTAGGCTTTGCTCTAACTTCTTGTCTATTTTGAATTGAATTCAGAGTTCTGGTAGAGATCCCTTAAAAACTTGAAGCCAAGGTAGCGAGAAAAATATAATATGCCACACATACCTAGTCAGAGTCTGTCTATGTTCAAAGATCCACTTCTTCTTTCCCCTACCAAATAGAATGGATGTAATAGAAAGGGTTTCATCATTTGTGCCTCTTCATTTGCAGAATGTCTTGCCCAAAAAGGCTGCCTCTTGTCAAATTAAGACAGTCTTCCTATCCCATCCATTGTGGACATTTTGCTGTTTACTTTTGTACCTTTAAATGTGCTTACTATATTATGTTGAGCTGATGTCTTAAAACCAAATCCTACGAAGATTGCAGCATTGTGAATGGGCTGTTCCTTTAGCTGGGAATTAGGGATGTTAATTGGGGTAAAATTGTTCAAAATAACAATTGATCTATTTTACAAGTCTAGTATATTTTTCACTGCAGGAGAATTAATAGGCCACACTGAAAGAGTTTCTGGCTTCACATTTTGCCCCTACCCTGGGCAAAACTACTATAGTGCCAGCAGCTCTGATGATGGAGCTGTGAAAATTTGGAATGTCCAAACATTGACTATCATGATGGAACATACACTACATCAGGTAAAATGCATGTGAAAATGGTAGTCCTTGATCACTAGTTGGATTGTGATACACATTTTACTATATTCTGGAGCAACTTTTCATAAACTAGGCTTGCATTTGCCAAATATCACTGAAATCTTTGTTACGAGGAACATGGAATTAAATTTTTATCAAGATTTGTACTGTCTTTGGATGATAGAGTGTGAAGAAATATTGTCATGCAGTCTTTATTTAATCCTGCTACCTGTCTTTTTCTTCTTTCTAATTTTCATATCTCTTGGATGCGTAGATAATGAAGTTATATTTTCCAGATGAAAGCTTTTATTTGATATCAATAATGATAATTCTAATATCTTAAGAGTAAATAAAGGTCAGTATGATTACTGAAACCTTTATTGTCAAATGAATCAGTTTTCATCCTTATTGACATGTTGTGATTGGATAGGTCATAGACAGTTAGATTTCAGGTTTTTTAAATGTAATATGGTTATTATGAAATGTTTGGAAAATATTTTTCTTAATTACTTTTTATAAATTTCTATTGCACTCTAGTCAATAGCTAGTTATTACTTCAAGAAAGAAAGAGATAGAGATCATTGTCTCAGTTTCCACCTTGGAAGAGATATGAGGCAGATTAATCTCCATATGTTATTGGGCTTTGGTTGTTAACAAGTGCACCCATTGGACTCTGGAAGTAACAGAGAGAGAGTTGCAAATTCTGGCTTTTTATATTTGAATATTGTACAAAACCTCAAAAATATCAATATTTAATTTTCCTAACTGCTGCTTTTTTTCCTCTAGAATACGATTTCTGCATTGCACTGGTCACCCAGAGCAAAAGATCTAATTGTATCAGGTGATGAGAAGGGGATAGTGATTTGTTACTGGTATAATCGAAATGACAGTCAGCAATTTTTTCCAGAACCTAGAACTATATTCTGTCTCACTTGTTCTCCTCACCATGAAAATCTGATAGCTATTGGGTAAGGCCCAAATGTTTATTCATTTGACATATTTTATAATAATATATACTTACATGAGGGACGCGGTAGCTCAGTGGCTAAGATGAAAGGTCGGCAGTTCAGCAGTTCGAATCCCTAGCGCCACGTAACGGAGTGAGCTCCCGTTACTTGTCCCAGCTTCTGCCAACCTAGCAGTTCGAAAGCACATAGAAAAATAAGGACCCCCTTTGGTGGGAAGGTAACAGCATTCCGTGCGCCTTTGGCATTTAGTCATGCCGGCCACATGATCATGGAGACATCTTCAGACAGTGCTGGCTCTTTGGCTTTGAAACAGAGATGAGCACTGCCCCCTAGAGTCGGGAACGACTAGCACGTATGTGCAAGGGGAACCTTTACTTTATACTTACATGAAATAAGTGTCATTTTATCAATTGGTGTCCATTTCAGTGATGAATCAGATTCTCCCTCATTTTTTGCATGTGGCCTTCTGAATCTGCTTCAAACATTTGGACCTCAGATCAGCCGGTAGGCTGACACAAAAATCATGTAGAAGAGGCAGGGAAAGGAACAAAACATCCAGCATTGCCATTCTTGCCCTGTAAGACTCCATATTTTGCATAGATAAAAGTTGAAACAGCCAAATTGTTCCAGGTTTCAATTAATTGAACTGCAAGCTGCTTTGTTGGTTAAACTAATGAGTTCAAATGATTTGTTTAAGGTTTTGAAGCAAAATACAATTTCCATGTTGTGCATGCCCTTTGTTAAGACTTTAAAAATGTGGAAAGCGAGGATGTTCAGGAAGAATGTTTTCATTAATAACAAGCTGGGAGAATGTTTTTATTAATAACAAACAAAAATATTCTGTTACTAAATTAGCTTAGAATCTAATTTTCCTTCATTTAGTCATTTTGGAAAATAGTAACTGGTTCAAGGTCATCCAGCTGGCTTTGTATCAAATGCAGATCTAGAATCCACAATCTTCCATTTATTAGCCTGGTGCTTTAGCCACTCATCAAACTGTTCTGTCACTGCCAAATACTAGGGGAAAATAAGGGAGGTTGTATTAGTTTCATAGTGTTTATACCAAGTGATGAATTAAGTTGTTGAATTCAAATTATTCTAGTTCCTTCTGTTTCAATCCTACTACTAATTTTATAGTGCTATCGGAGTTTATTACTCTATACATTGTAGGAGTTAAAAGTTCTTAATGCAAAAATGCAACCAGCACTCAGTTAGAGACAACTGAGACAAAAGGTTTGTTAAAGGAGGAAAAATAAATAAAATAATCACATAGCCATGAGTTTTAAAATAGATTGTATCCCCATATTACCAAAGGGCAATCAATTCCTTTAACTGGTTTCATTTTAATATACAGTAAAAAAAAATTATTCAGATACACCATTTCAATATATAGAAAGCTTCGTCTAAATACAGGTTGAAAAGACCTGAGTCATCCTAACATGTTTTAGTTAGGATTACATTGAAGAGATACATATTTATAAAACAAATATGTGATTATGGAGAAAAAGATTTCAGCCCTACTTTGACTCTCGAATGCTGATTAATTCCACTTTATTTTCTTTCAGTGTTGTATATTTCTAGAATAATAGGGAAAATAAACAAACTAACTTAAAGTATGCATTGTTCCATATCTGCATAAAATAATTTTACAAACAGATGTAATGCCAAGAAAGCATATGCTTTATGTTCAGAAGCATCTGTTTTTCCCCATAAACTATACTGTATATCTGCAGATATAGAACATAGAACGCTTTCTGTTGTATTCAGTATATAATTACTGGCAGGCTGAGAAATACTCCAACCAGCAAGCTTTGCTGTTCAGATTCATTAATTTCATGTAGAAACAATGAACTATTAACATTTTATGTTAGATTATGAAAAAAATGTTATCATTTGTTTATAATTCGTATGGGCTGAAACCTCACTGATTTATCCCACTTATTAGTCCATGTAAATACTTCCATCCTAAGGTTTATGTTTACCACTCTGCTCTTACAAACAACAAAGATTACAGTAAAACATGAATGGGCTGCTTCTACCCTGTTTCCCCTAAAATAAGACATCCCCTGATAATAAACTCAATTGGGCTTTTGAGCACATGCACTAAAATAAACTCCCCCTGAAAATAAGCCCTCCCTGAAAATATTTAAATGCATGTGGAGTCGGTCTCTTGTTTTCCTCCATGTGCCCCAAAATAATAAGACCTCCCTGAAAATAAGGCCAAGCACTTATTTCGGGGTTCAAAAAAATATAAGACAGGGTCTTATTTTCGGGGAAACACAGTAGTATTGGGATTATTTATTGAACATGATTTATTAGCTAAGCGATTAAATACTTCTTGC